GCCACGTCACGGCGCATGCGCTCTCCGCGCGCCGGCGCACCGCCCAGGGGCGCGCCTCGCCGGAGCGCTCGTTTCCTGGGAGACCGAGCGGGCCCTGGCTGACGCGGCCGGGCGACCCGAACAGCCAAGATGCCGCCGAAGGGAAAGGACAAAAGGAAAGGCAAAAGCAAAGGCAAGGACCCGAAGTAAGGAGCCGCCGCCCCGGAGTCCCCGCCCCCGCGGCCGGCGCAGCGCGTCGGGAGTCTGGGGTCCTGCTGCCGCCCGCCCGCTGTCCGGTCCGATCCGATGCGGTCCGGTCCGGTCCGGTCCCGGGGCGGCTCCTGTGCTCGCGCCTGCTGCGCCGTCGCCGGAGGGGGCTCTGGGTGACCTTGCACAACTGGAAATGACCTCGTGTGGGCGGCTGAATTAGTTCCTTGGGCCGTTTCAGGAATCCCTCGTGGTTCACAGGGCAGCCCATGGATTTGATCAGACTGGGAAATCGTTCAAGTTTCCGAGAGATGATCAGCGCCCTGACAGCCTGGGTGGGGATCCAGCGCTAGCCCTCCGAGGCTCGGAGTTGCTGTGGGATTGCCGTTGGCTCTGCTGTGACGCCAGGGCTCTCTAAACACACAGGCGTTATGTGGTGACCCCCCCACACACACGTATGTGCCACCACCGACCTGTGATGTTTATCACAGGGGTGCAGCTCAGCGATGGAGAGCTCACCCCCCTGCGCCAGGGCCTGGGTTCGCCCCCATGCACTGCACACGCAAAGCAAAAATAATGCGTCTAAGTTCATGCTTACTCCAGGAAGTGTGGGAAACATAAATTACCAAAGGAATAAATGAAACCACCTGAAATCCCATCATCCGTAGATAACCAGCTCATGAGACGTTCTCTGGGAACCTGACAGACTCAATTTCCGAGGAAAAGAGGGCTGGGGGACGTGGCCCGGTGGAAAGGCCCTGGGATCCCCCCCGTCCATCTGCAGTACCCATGTGAAAAATGAGGACCCCTGGGGATGAGACCTCTTACTCCTGGACGTTCTGTGGCCCACTGCTTGAGAAACTTCGTTTGGTTTTTCCGGTCGCTGTTAGCGATGACACCAGCCCCTTCCTCCTCACCGGGACAAAGTGCCTGACGCCCACAGCTTAAAGGGGGAGAGGTTCGTTTAAATCCTTGGCCCGCTGGCTTCAAGGCAGAAAGTAATGGCAGAAAGGTCTGGGCAAGGAAACTCCTCACATCATGGAGTGGAGCAGCAGAGGGGAGAGGGGAGAGGGAGGAAGATATATGCGCCTCCAGCTCAGGCCCCTAGGGGAGCCCCCCGCCTCCCGCACCAGAACCCCCTCCTGACAGCGAGCCAGTAATAGTGCCCCTCGGCCTCTTCCATCAGCCCCGCCAGTGAGCGCCGGAGACCTGGGGGATATTCTCTATAGAAGCGGCAACAGTGGCCCTTCTGTCTGAGGTATCTCTGTCATGAAATATTCATGAAATACTTTCGGGAGCAGGTGGGATGATTACAACAAGGCGATCATCACTAGTGTCCAAATCACAATGCTTCTGGGGTCAATAGCTGTAACAAGCTGCGGGGGAGGGCTGGGACTGGCCTTAATTTGAAGAAAGCTAAAATACCAGGAAAAGGGACTGAACCCAGAGTTGAGAAGTGCACATGGAAGGTGGCGGTATAAAAAGGTCTGTTCTTACATGTGTGAGCATATTCAGTGGGCAAATAAGGTGAAGTTTTTGTATATTCTATGCATAGGTATGTTATATATACCTAGTACCTACCATACAGTTTTATGTTCATCCAAGAAAAAAATTTTTTTTCATACCAGGGATTGAACCCTGTGTCTTCCCACTGAGCTACATACCCAACCCACTTTTTTATGTTTTATTTTGAGACAAGATCTTGCTAAGGCACTGAGTTGCCCATGCTGTGCTCAAACTGTCCTTCCTTATGTATGCCTCAGCCTCTCAGAGTGCTGGGGTTACAGGTATATGCTGTGACCCCTGGATGAAAAGAATCTCTCCTACCACTTGTTGTTTTTGTTTTGAGACAAGGTCTCTATGTAGTTCAAGTTGGCCTTGAATTCACTATGTAACCCAGCCTGTCCGGAACTCCCAGCGATCCTTCCACCTCAGCCTGCCCAAAGCTGAGGTTACAGGCATGTGCCACCCTACCCAGCTTCCTTTTATCACTGTAATCTTTGAATCTATCCTTTTATTATTTATTAATTTATTTTATTTTAAAATGAAAACGAGGGGTCGAATCCAGGACTTCACCACTGAGCCACACCCCTACGGCCCATATTTTCTTTTTCTCCACTTTTGTGTAAATGATATTTGTTTGTCAGACATTTTTAAAGTCTGGCACACTGTGGTACTAACTGGCAAAATATTTAACGTATTTCCCAGAGTAACTTGCTCTTTTGTCTAAGGGCCAGTCAAAACAAAAACCCCAAAACAAAACTGGTCATAGCATGGGTGGGGAGATTACATGTACATTACTAATGTATTCTCATGCAAAACAGCAACAAATTGGGGAATAGGTTTGCAGTGGAGAGAACCCAAGTTTACAACTGAATAAGTAGTTCAAATATGAAAGAATTAAAGAGGTAAATGAAAAATGATGACGCAGGCGTGGTTATCAGGACAGCCTGAACAATGTGGGCAGACTGTCTCAAAATAAAAACGTTTTTAGAAGGACTGGGGTTGTAACTTGGGGTGAAATGCATGCTTAACCTGTGTGAGGCCCCGGGTTCAATCCCCAGTACCACAAATAAAAAAAGGTGTGAGAACTTACGACGTGACTTGGACTTGAGTCTTGCCCCTTTGCTCTTCCAGTCCTTTAGAATTATGCTCCATAGCTGTCCACTTCCAGCAGGAAGCAGCACCTACTTAAAAATGTGTGAATAATGGTAAATATATACTTTCTTATTACATAACCCACTCATCCAACAATATTGCTCAAGTGTGCCTGGAAGAAAGAGAGAGCACTAATACAGTACCCGTAGTTACATACTTTCAACGTCCTCCTCCCATGCAGGAAATCAGGAAAAACAGATGAGTCTGTCTCTGTGGTGGAGCAAGCCAAGGCCAATGCCACCCTGTGGGAGAGCAGGCTGGAGGTCACGGAGCTCTCTAGGATCGAATACCGTGATATGTCTCGCAGACTGGCCAAGAGTAACGAAGACCTTAAGAAGCAGCAGTATAAAATGGAGAAAGACACAATGTCTGTGTTAAGCTATATGAAGAGGCAGGAGCAAGACAAAGATAATGTGGTAGGTGGGCAGGTAGAAAACCTTCATTACCTCTGTAGGAACTGGCCTGGTTATATTTTTCAAGAATTTTAATTCCTTCTAATCTCAAGAGATCAAGGAATCTTGTTAAGACAATATAGTGAAGTTGTGTGTGTGTGTGTGTGTGTGTGTGTGTGTTACTAGATAGCAAACCCAGGGTTTTAACATTTAGCTACATCCCCAGACCTTTAACATTTTTAAAAATTTTTTGAGATACAGTTTACTAAATCAAGAAGTTGCCCAGGCTGGGTTTGAACTTTTGATCCTCCTCGCTCAATCTCCTTCATCCTGGAGTTATGGGCAGCGCCACCATATCTAGAAGGAGACCCTATGTTTGTGTCATGTGTTATGCTGGGTGCTATACCTGAATTATCTCACTTAGTCCTTTGAGTAACCCCACTTAGCTGCAATATTGCTTTTCTTTTCTTCTTAGTACTGGGGCTAGAACCCAGATGTCTCTACCACTCAGCTCCATCCCCAGCCCATCCATTTCTGTATTTTGAGACCAGGTCTCCCTAAATTACTCAGGCTGGCCTCAAATTTGTGGTTCTCTTGCCCCAAGTATTTCCAGTGTTGGGATTGTAGCTGTGCACTGTTACACTGGCTTGTTACTGCTATTTTAAGAACCAACTCTCAAAAAGGATGGATAGCTTGCCCAAAGTCATACAGTTACACCAAATTCTTCTCTTTCCCTTCTGCCTCTATAAACCACTTGGAAATTCAAGGAAATTTCATGTTCAAGATGTATTCTTCCTTCCATATATGTGTTTGTACTCTTACTATTTATTTATGAATCCATAAAGAAGATACACTGTAGTCTTGTAGGGTTTTTTTGCACACATAAATGCTCTGCTACTTTGAATGCTTATAAATGTCTGATGGTTTGAAAAAGTAGCAATAAAAACTGTCAATATTTTTATTGACTGTCAAAGTAGCAATAAAAACTTTGAAAAAGTAGCAATAAAAAGCAATATCAAGATGATATTGAAAGTAAATTGGAAAGGCTGAGCATGGTGGTGCACATCTATAATCCCAGCACTCGGGAAGCTGAGGCAAGAGGATTTCTGCAAGTTTGAGGTCAGCCTGGGCTGCATGGTGAGTTCAGTGTCAACCTGAACTACATAGTGAGACCCTGTGTCAAGTAAATAAATAAATAAAATAAAATTACCCTTTGAATAGTAGATATTATAAATACATTATTCTAAAGTAAGTTTTTCAGCAGCCATAAAAATAATTTTCAGAATTCATTCCATAGATACTTTGTGTCCTGCAGTAGCTAGTTTTTTTTTTGATAGTGAAAATATACTTTATTTTTAACATAACAGCTGTTAGCAATATACTGGTGTTGATGTTGCAGAGAGAGAAAAGAAAATACAAGCATTCTATGGTAAGCTTTCATTTGCCTATTCATGTAATTCTAAAGAAAATACTCCAATTCTGTTCAACATTATGGCTTAGGAGTTGAATTTTTTGTCCATCACAAAAATATAAATTTGGTTGCCCCAACCTTGATAATCTGTAAAAGAACTTTTAAGAGCCTATAAATAAAATGAATGCTTCCCTCTCTTTGAATTAAATATTGATTATAACCAGTGTAAGAAATTGATGAACCAGTTAGCTTGATGAAATGTATATCAAAATGTTCATGGAAAAATACTTTGTATTTCTTTTCATTTCCACTGTAGATATTTCCTAAATGGGATTTCCAAATGCACAGAATTAAAAGCTATCTCCCCCCCCCATTATTATGTTATCCTTCTTTTACTCTTTAAAATAAAAAATAATAATAAAATAAAAGGTATCTTCATGCAATTTTGGAGATACTCAAAACTCCACAAAAGCAAAAATGCCTGAATTCCAGAGTTGATGCACTTGTAGGACTAAATATCCCAAGTCGTTTAATTGTATACACGTTACTCCAGCATTTAAAGTTGGGAAGCGAAAGTTACTCGGAAATAAAAACTTTATTTGCCCTGGTACTGAACATCTGCATCTAAATCAAATAAAGGAGGTTGACAATATTGACTGGAAGAGATCTTCCCGACTCAGTAGTGAGAAACTTTTTCAGTATCCTTGGAAAATAGTGAGACTCTCCACTCATACTCCAGTCTCCTCACTGACATGTAACAAAAGTCGGTTAAATGAAGAGGGAAATGATTCATTAGTTGTAGAAATAAAAGATGATTTCCACATGTCAGCACGTACGTGCACTACATGAGTCTGCACTAGCTAAATGATACTGATTTGTATTTATCAGTGTCACCTATGTTTTCAGGTTGTCATCTGCCTTCCTATACCACAGACCAACATCTGGGCGTAGCAAATGTTCTCTTACAATAATAGATTCCTACTAAAAGCAAATTCTGTAGCTGGGGATGTAGCACAGTGGTAGAGCACACGCTTAGCATGGGCAAGCTCTTGGGTTCAGTCTCCAGCACCTAGCAGACAATTAAACCACAGAAACTACTTGGGGAGGAACAGAAGAGGTGCATTAAATTTATCCTGGTTAACTAGCTCGGTTCTGTTTTGGGACGGGACCTCCCTGTGTTCTGCAGGGTAGCCTTGACTTCTAGGCTCAGGTGATTCTCCCACTTCTCCTCTTGAGTAGCTGGGACAGCAGGCACTTGCCACCACAACAGGCCTCCCCCATAGATTATTACCCATTCTGCTATGTTCTGGAAATACGTTTTTGTAATCTTTATTCCTCTGGGGACATAGCTCAGTGGCACAAGTGCCTGCCTGGCAAGCATGAGGTCCTGAGTTCGATTCCTGGTACAACAACAACAAAAAAAAAGGGGATAAGAGCTTAATCTTTATTCCAGTTGTGTATAGTCTTATTTCATGTTAATTACAGAAATATTAGACATTAATTTCCTTTATGAAATGTTTAGAAAACTTTTATCTTGAACAAAATTAAGTGATTTTTCTTTTAAATTTTTCAAGAAGGATGTTTTTCTTAAGACTGGGTTTTTGTATTTAAGGCTTTGTTGAGTCAATCATCAAATAATCTTATTGATAAGATTAATTGGAGCCAGGTGTGATGGTGCATGCCTGTAATCCCAGCACTCAGGAGGCTGAGGCAGGAGGATTGTTGTGAGTTCAAGACCAGCCTGGGCTACAAAGTGAGCTTAAGGCCAACCTGAACTGCATAGCAAGACCCTGTCTCAAAAAAGACAGAAAAAAAGAAAAGATTAATTGGAACAGTCCACTAA